TCTTTGATATGGCCTGAAATTGCATATTTAGGTCTTGCAGTCCTTCTTTTGTGGCATTAACTAAGGTTTCCACTTGTCCTGTTAAATTATATACCCAAATTCTGCAGACTCTTCATTTCCAGTGATCCAACAACTCCCCCTGGTGACTGGCACAGGACACCACAAGCTCTACCTCTCCTGTGATCCAACAGAACCCCCTGTGGACTGTGGTTAGAATTGCACCAAAGGGTGTAAACAGAACTGTTTACCTTTTTTTTTCTTTGTTTATTGGTTTGTTTTGAAGGGGATTATTTGTCAGTACAGCAGTATTGTTTGGTTGTTTTACTTGTTTTCTTTTGTTACTTCTGTCAATAGACATATATCATTTAATAAAGGGCTGTTATTTTTCCTTTTTCCAGACTTTTTTCCCCTCAGTTGGAGCCTCTTAATTTCGGATTTACAATTGCTTAGAGGGAGGAGTTTGGGTCTTCCTCATAACTCATCCTCAGCAAAACACCTGTGTCTCATTTAAGCTGAGACAAGTCTCCCATATAAGATTTCAAATATAATCCAACAAGACTTTAACCACTTCTCTTGATTCATTTGTTCTACATGGGAATGCTTCAGGTCACCCAGATAATGTGTCAGTCAAAACCAAAAGATAACAAAAACCCCCTTTTCTTGGGAGTTCAGAGAAATCGATTTGCCAAACTTGACCTGGGAAATGCCTTTTGTTTATTGCTCCTTGATGTATTTTAGTTTTAGTATTTGGATTATTTTTCAAAGTTCCCATTGGGATGTGACTTGCTTTCTTGTGGTAAATAAATTTGGCTCTGCCACTCTGGTTCTTAAATATTGATAGTCAGTCCAAGCCCCAATGAGTTTTATCATGTTCTGTTTTTACAAATTGCCATACTAATTTTTCTCGTAATACTAGCTGGTCTGTTTTTAGTTGACACCAACCCCTTGTCTAACAGCTTCCCTCCATTTTTATGTATCCAGTTATAATCTGATTCTTGATACTCTGCTTTTTCATTTGTATCTAGCTTTTCTGGCACTAAGGCTGCTACTGGTAGTTCCTCACCTCTTGCAGCAGCTAACTTAACTTCTGCATCAGCTTTCCTGATTCCTATTTCTGGAACACTTATCTTTCAGGTGCCTCAGCAGTGCATGATTGTACAGCTTCCAGTAATCGTAGAATTTCTTCAGCATATTTCACAACTTTTTCTTGAGCAGTTAAAAGTCCTCTTTCTTTCCAAATTACTCCATGGGCATAAACTATGCCAGAAGCATATTTGGACTCAGTCCAGATGTTAATTTGTTTTCCTTCTGCCAGTTCTAAAGCTCAAATGAGAACTATCAGTTCTGCTTTCTGGGTTGATGATGAATGGGGGGGGTTATGCCCATGCATCCGGCCCAGAGCTCATCTTGCGTAGGGAATTAGACACATACACACAAGTTACATGTCCAGCAAAATGGCTGATTCCTTTATTACACGGGTGTTTTTATAGGGAGGGTATAGAAGGTTCTGGGACAGGGGTAGGCTCCTGCCAGGGGACATCAAATCCTGGGGGTTT